AGGGCCACGTAGGCTCCTGGACCTCAGAGCTGCCCTGGAGGACCTCCGCCCACGGGCACGGCAGAGATCCAAAGCTAGGGGTCAAAATGGAAACTGGAAAACGGACATTCCTCAGCAAGACCATAACCGGTCACAAGAAGTAAGGGCTCTCGATCTCCTTGCAATGAAACGTTCCAGGCAGAGGCACATTTTTGCAAGTGTTCAAAGGTTGTCAGGATGCAGGCAACAGCCTTTCCTAAAACCCACACCCACTGACCCACGATGGATGGAGCCACGGCTTCCTGAGGAAAACAAATGCCAAGAAATTATACAATAAACTTCAAGTGGTGACCAGCACAAAGTTGAAGGAGTGATTTGAGAGGGGCTGTTCATAATGCTTGTGACACCATCCTTTCTGAAGCTCCTAGCACCTTGCCTGCCACATATTGGTTTGGGTGGCCCAAGAAAAACAGGGTCAGGAAGTGGAATAACCATAGAGCAGGCAGATCCACACAGAGGGACAGAGGGCCTCCCATAAGGTTTCTGAAATGAACCACGAAGTCTAAAATGGCCACTGACTTCCCCATTCTCCTTCTTCTTCCTCATTTTGCAGTCCAATCCTGTTTGCACAAGCACCATGGCATGGCCAATCAAATACCCTTTTGTGCCTGTGCTTGTGAACACAAGAAAACCAGCCCAGGGGCCGGCGTTGTGGCATAACGGGTTAAGTCACTGCCTGCAATGCCGGCATCCCATATGGGCACTGGTTCAAGCCCCTGCTGCTGCACTTCTGAGCCAGCTCCCTGATAATGCACCTGGGAAAGCAGTGGAGGATGGCGCAGGTCCTTGGGCCTCTGCACCCACATGGGAAACCCAGATGAAGCTCCTGTTTCCTGGCTTCACACTGGCCCATTGCAGCCATTTGGGAAGTGAACCAACAAATGGAAGATCTCTGTATCTCTCCCTCTCTCTCTGTAACTCTTCTTTCAAACAAATGAATCTTTAAAAAAAGAAAACCAGTCCAAAACCCCTTTCAAAGCTGCCTCATACCCTGTGCTCATGTTACCGCCTAAGAGGAATAAGCAAAGAGGATGTTAAACTACTTGTAAAAGACTCAGGGCCCCATTTCCCCAATAGACTCCTGGCTCTGGGGCCGCTCTCTGCACTACTGGTCTCCAGTTAGAGAGCTTTGATCCTTCTTCTCTCTGGCTCAGTAAACTTCCTTTCACTTTGCACCCTGAACTCAGTTTCTATACTGAAGGAAGTCAAGAACCAGGTAACACTCTCTTGATGCAGCATAACCACTGAAGCCGAACCCATTGGCCTATTCACTACAGCACTCCATACAATCTCTACTGTCCCCTTCCCAGGAGAGGAAGAATGGGAGATGGCATGGCTCCTAGCCAGGATTCCAGATGCTGTGGGATAGGACAGGCCAAAGCGCAAGGTTCCCAGGAAATCTAAAATCCCTGTCCAAAAATGGGCACCACACAGGGAAGCAGGGATGATCCAAAACATCAAGGCCAAGAATAGTCAAACAGGAAAAGATTTCTGTAGAACACCCCTAATACTAGTAGGAGAAATTGCTATAGCATCCTCAAAACTAAGTTCCTTCCCTGACAAGCCAATTGCTGACGTCAGAGAGGTAAAAATGTGGCAATTTGTTGGAAAGCTCAAAGGAAAGAGTTTGGCAGCTATGGCTTAATTCCTAGGGTCCTCCAGGGGTTAGGGGTAAAGATTCTTGTAGGTTGAAGTTGGAGTTGAGAGGTGAGTGTTAAGCTCATGTCCAGGTCCCTGGTTGGCCTGCAGTGCTCGTGGCCCTCCTACGATCGGTCAGTGATATCGTGTTCTTCGGAAGTTCTGATGATGGCAAAGTGCGCTCCTCTTAGTCAGGTAGGAGTTACTTTCTTGTTCAGCGCCTGGGGTTTCTGGGGAAAAAAGCCCTTAAGACAAGACCCAACATCAAGACATTATTTATAGGGGAGATAAATGAGCTCATGAGTCTTGGGTTTAAGGACCCTGTTGGGCCTGCCATACCACTCCCTCAATTCAATTTAGTAGGAGGATGATTTACAATCATAAAAGCAAGGCAGGGAAACTCTACATTGAGGGAGAAAGACTGGGAGACTAGAACTCGATGGTATCTAGCATCAGCATCAAAGGCACTGTAAAGTGCTCAGTTTCAGCAAGAGGGTCAGAACTCAGAGCAGGATGCTCTCTGGGTATAACATGGAAAGACTTTGTGTGGCAATATGAGAAGGAGAAGTAGACCCAGAGCCATAGGAAGTTTAGTTTGTTCACATGGTTACAGCCATCCTGATCCTTAGCATTTTTAAGTTTCCTTATACCAATTGGTAATTACTGGCTACCCTAAACCCCAGAGGAGTTCTCTTTACTCTAAGCTTCTTGAATCATTCATATGACCCAACAAGTGTCAGAAGAGAAAATGACAGGGCTGGTGCTGTGCTGCAGCAGGTTAAGCTACCACCTGCAACATCCGCACCCTAAGTGGGTGCCAGTTCAAGCTCCAGCTGCTCTACTTCTTATCCAGCTCCCTGCTTATGCACCTGGGAAAACAGAAGAAGATGGCCCAAGTACTTGGGCCCCTGCACCCACATGGGAGACCCAGATGATGTTCCTGGCTCCTATCTTTGGCCTGGCCCAGCCCTGGCCTTTGTGGCCATTTAGGGAATAAGCCAGCAGATGGAAGATCTCATCTCTCTCTGTCTCTGTGACTCTGCCTTTCAAATAAATAAATAAATCTTTTTTCTAAAGAGGTAGAGTTACAGACAGAGAGATGCACAGAAAGAAGTATCTTTCCATCTGCTGGTTCACTCCCCAGATGGCCGCAACGGCCAGAGCTGAGCTGATCCAAAGCCAGGAGCCAGGAACTCCATCTGCATCTTTCATGTGGGTGCAGGGGCCTAAGCACTTAGGCCATCTTCCACTGTTTTCTCAGCCATTAGCAGAGAGCTTGATTGGAAGAGGAGAAGCCGGGACTCAAACCAGCACCCATATGGGATTCCGGTGCTGCAGGTGAAGGCTTGGCCCACTACACCACAGCGCCAACCCCATGAATAAACTTTTATAAAAAAGAAGGCAGAGAAGGAGGAGAAAGAGGAGAAGGAGGGGAAGGAGGGGAAGGAGGGGAAGCAGGGGAAGGAGAGGAAGAAGGGGAAACAAGAAAAGAAAGAAAGGGCACCTAATCAAGGTTAGGACATGGATGCCGAGAAGGCTTCCTGGAGAAGGGGCTTCTCAGTTAAGTCTTGAAGAGTAAATAGGAGTTTTTAAGATGAAAGATCTGTCTGCTCTCCTAGCTAGGGTTTGGGCTCCATCATTCCCATTCAAGCACAGTAGCTGAGCTTTCTGTACATGCTGCAGCAAACTCTGACTCTCTTGGGTGTCTAGGGCCCCATTTTCTTTTATGGCATACATGAGTGTTCTGCCTTTTTAAAGGGGAATATCGACACCGATGATGTCACAGTTTGAGCAGTTTTGGGGCCGAGAACTGCAGACCTCACTGTGCTCCTCTCTGTGGTCTTCTTACAACTAAAAGATGCCAAGGGATGCCTTTCTCACAACTGTTCCCCTCCAGGCAGGATCTGACACAAAAAGGGGACAATGGTGACACAGAGCAGCACAACAAGCAGTACAGGTATTTTCTATTATTATTATCAAAGAATATTATCAAATTTGGAGGGCCTTAGCAAAAGTCTGGACATAAGGGATGAAGTGGGATGAAACAAGTATGTGAACATGATGACAGAAGACACCTGTAGGACTTCATGTGCCAAGCACCACTCTAACCGCATTACAGGATTTATCACATCCAATTTTTACAATGACTCCACAATTTAGGAATTATTTTTATCCTCATTTTACGTATGAGGAAGCTACAGCACAGAGAGGCTAAGTAACTCACCCAAGGTCACCTAGCTCGGATGATATCCAGGATCCTAGTCTAGACCCCTGGGTGAATGATACTGCCTTTTAAAGCTGTTGGTGGGCGGTGGTAGGTGGTGAGTTTCACTTAAGGAATGTAGAATTTGGGTTACCTGTCTGGTTGTTGTTATACCAAAGCTCCTGTGATAGTTTCTAAGGGAGGTCAGGGTGGGGTACAGGATGCCTACAGGCATTCTGGGGTTGTCTTTGGCACCAATGTAGGTGCCCCAAGGTGCTGTTGGGGAGGCATCATGGTGCATGTCTTGCCCAAGCCAGTGATAGATTAAGCCCACAATGCTGGACACAGAAATACCTCTGCTGTCTAGACACACCGCCCAGATGGCCAGGCCCTCACAATGAAAACCAACCAGCTGAGCATGAAGCAGCCCTAAGGAACAAAAATAACTCAGTCTTGGTCTCGGATCCTCATTTCTCATGCAGCAGGCAGCCAGAACTGCAGTATCAGACACGGTCAAGTAAATTTGGACAGCATTTGGCCTGGCCTTAAGAGATTTCCTGCTCAAAAACTCAGCCTTGGCGGCTTTGGTGCACCAGTGGGCTACACCTAGTCAGAGGCTAGGCCCGGGTAACTGTGACTTCTTTCTGATACTTCCAAATGCAGAGGAGAAACTGATGTCAGGAGGTTGCCTTAAGGCTCTGTGGACAAAGACTGCTCTAAGGTATTCCCTTTCAAGCCTGTGAGAACTGTGCAGCAGGACTTCCGATGTCTCTGTCTCTATGCTGGCCTGTGCAGATACAAGAGGGGAGCATGTCAGGACCAAAGGTAGACCCAAGAGCTGATTTCTGGAAGGCTCAAGAGACTGGTTACTTTGCACCCTGTAAAGGACCCACCTGCCGGGCTACAGTGAGATGCATAAAGATACATGGATAACTCCATCAGAAAATGGCTCATCTAAAGCTCTGGGCTGCACCCATTGCCATTACACCCACTGAGGCTGTGCTTACAGTGCCTGCTCAATCACGTTAGCAGCAGGAAGCTGCTCACATCCTACGTCCATAGGCAAAGTCACGTGTCTCCCACACATCAGCCCGGACAACTGCATCTTCCCACGTTTTACCTGCTCCTTGGCCTTTCCTTGGACACCAGAACGCGGTGTCTGCGTCTTCGCAGAGATTAACCACAGTTCTGTTGCCGCATAGCACAGTCTCTCCTCCAGACTCGGACTGAGCACCAGACCTGGCACAGCAGAGAGAAGGCTCAGAATATGCCTGACCTTTGGCTAGGCAGTGTCCCTACGTGACCCCATTCATGGGCCCCAGCCGGATGAGAGACGGGCTGGGCTCTGCATTTTCCAGTTGGGGAAACGGGCTTACAAGTTAGGTATTTCTCCCAGGTCGCTGGGAGAGGAAGGGGCAGAGCGGGACGGGGGGAGCCGGGGCGGGGCAGGGGCCCGGAGGCGTCGCGTGAAGCCCCGCCCCGCGCCTGTCGCGGAGGGAGAGGGTCCTGGCGCCCAGGGTCCCGCCCCCGCGCGCCCACCTTTGCGACGAGACTTCCGGGATCCTGCACGGGCCGGAAGTGGGGGGGTCATGTCGCTTCCGGCGCGGATGTTGTTTTCGTTTCTGCGAGCCTAGGAGGTGTTCGGAGTCGTTTCTGAGGCCGCTTGTGGGCCACAGTGTGGCAGGGGCGCCTCAGCGAGGGTCGCTAACGCCGGCCCGGAGCTCGCTTGGCCTCGGCCACCGCGGGCCGCGCAGTCCCCGTGACGCCGTGAGGCCGCCCGGTGTAGACCTCTTTGTCCCATTTCTCTGACCAGCCGTGCCTGGCAAGGAGGCGGGCACAGCGAAGAGCAGGGCAGGTGAGCGGCGCAAGAACCTGGTGTAACACGAAGTGGAGGTGGCTCTTTGCCCAGCCTGGCCCTGGGAGACGATAGGCAGAGGGTCAGACCCAGGCCCAGAATGTCAGACGTGAGGTGCGACTTGTAAACGCCGGAATCCACTGGAGTTAGGCTGTTGTGCATTCGAGATGGCAAGGAAGCAGGAAAAGGCCAGCGCTTCTTTTTTTTGCTTCTTTTTTTTTTTTTTTTTTTGACAGGCAGAGTGGACAGTGAGAGAGAGAGACAGAGAGAAAGGTCTTCCTTTGCCGTTGGTTCACCCTCCAATGGCCGCCGCGGCCGGCACACCGCGCTGATCCGATGGCAGGAGCCAGGAGCCAGGGGCTTTTCCTGGTCTCCCATGGGGTGCAGGGCCCAAGCACTTGGGCCATTCTCCACTGCACTCCCTGGCCACAGCAGAGAGCTGGCCTGGAAGAGGGGCAACCGGGACAGAATCTGGCGCCCCGACTGGGACTAGAACCCCGTGTGCCAGCGCCGCTAGGCGGAGGATTAGCCTAGTGAGCCGCGGCGCTAAGGCCAGCACTTCTTATGTGGGTGGGATCAGAGTCCCCAGGTTATTTTTAAATCCATCTTTGCTCTCTTTTTTAGGGGGAAAAAAAAAAAAAAAGACAGTTGAGGCCCAGGAAGAAGTTGCTGACCCAGGGACCTGGGGATGAATAGTGAGTTGGAAGCACAGCACACATGCCCAAGCACCCAGTAAGCTGCTGATTTTGCCAAGAGTATTTTACAGTAGATAAACTGGATTACAGTTTCCCCCCACTTCGGTGTCAGCTAAATGAGCCACCTTCGTTCCCTTTACCAAATATGTGTCCCCACGTGCCATGCACTACATGTGTACAAAGGTGCCTGGAAGCCAGCTCTGCCCTTGGAGAGCTCGGGAAAACGGGGGAGACAGTTACAGTGTGAGCAGTGCTCTTACAGAGGTTTGGATGGAAGACGTGCTGTGGGCTCCCTGAGGTGATAACCGCTGAAGCCTGGAGACACCAGCAAAGCCTTCTGAGGGAAGTGAGTCCAGTAGAAAAAGTGTTGACACTTTTAAGATTTATTTTTATTTATTTGAAAGGCAGAGTGATAGAGAAGGAGAGACAAAGAAAGAAGAAAATCTTTCATCTACTGGTTCAGTCCCCAGTTGGCCTCAGTGGCCACCAGGAGCTCAGAACACCATCCAGGTCTCCCACATGAATGGCTGGGGCTCAAGCACTTCGGCCATCTTGTTCTGATCCAGCTCCCTGCTAATGTGCCTGAGGTGTGGCCTCATACGCTGAGGACTGGCTCAGTCCCAGCTGTTGCAGTCATTTGGGGAATGAACCAGTGGATGGAAGATGATCTCTCTGCCTCTGCCTCTCTCTGTAACTCTGCCTTTCAAATAAATAAATGAATTAAAAAAAAAAAAAGGAAAAATTAAAACGAAGACTGAACTCTACCTGTGTATCGAGAGCTTTAGTCTCAAAACTTGTTCATTTCTAGCAGATGAGGTTTTAAGCATGGGATTCCAACAAAGATTTATTTGTAAAACAGGTATACACTACTATATCTTAATTTACATTATATTACATACGTTAAATGGGAGTCAAATGACAGTTTAGTACTTTCTTTTGGGATCTCTTCCATGTTCTATGTTAAAGAATGTTTGGCCTGAGTGCTTGGGGAGAGTGGTAGGAAAAATGGCTGGACCCGAAGTCTAAGCCTGGGTTGTGAAGGGCTCCCAATGCTAGGTGTAGACATTTAGACTTCAGCCTGGAAGAAAGAGAACCACTGAAAGTTGTTTGTTGTTTTTTTTTTTTTAAGATTTATTTATTTACTTATTTATTTGAAAGGTAAAGTTATAGAGAGGCAGAGGCAGAGAGAGGTCCTCGATCTTATTGGTTCACTCCCCAGATGGCCGCAATGGCTGGAGCTGGGCCAGTCTGAAGGCAGGAGCCAGGAGCTTCTTCCAGGTCTCCCACATGGGTGCATGGCCCAAGCACTTGGGCCATCTTGTACTGCCTTCCCAGGCCACAGCAGAGAGCTGGATTGGAAATGGAGTAAACAGGACTCGAACCAGCAGCCATTTGGGATGCTGGCACTGCAGGCAGTGACTTTACCTGCTATGCCATAGCACCAACCCTAACCACTGAAAATTTTAAGAGATGATTTTCTACTTGCAGAGATGCCAAGAAAGACCTTCCTTGGTTGTACTCTTTGTTTTTTTTTTTTTTTTCCTTGAAACTTTGCTTTTTAACTCAGTGAAGCATCTGTTGCTACCAGCTTGAGGCTGAACACTTTTGGGACCCTGATTTCTTTTTTGATATTTCTGCAGGTGATAACTCCTATTGCCCCCTTCTACAATCCTGAAAAACAGTTCCTGAGACCATGATTTTAATTGGACCAACTGCTGCAGGAACAAGCCTCTCTGAGGGGTCACAGTGACCACCAGTGGCAGGGGAACTTTAGGTCTTAGCCCCTGGAGCACTGTTTTCCAGAAGCAGGAGGAGCACCTGACTGTGAAGCAGGAGCCAGGGAGCCAGACTCAGGAGCAGGGCTGCAGTCTCCAGAAGAACCACCCTCCTGTCTGAAATTTTCCGGCTGCACTTCAGGCAGTTAGGTTACCACGAGATGTCTGGGCCACAGGAGGCACTGAGCCTGCTCCGGGAGCTCTGCCACTGGTGGCTGAGGCCAGAGGTACATACCAAGGCACGGATGCTGGAGCTGCTGGTGCTGGAGCAGTTCCTGAGCATCCTGCCTGGGGAGCTGCAGACGTGGGTGTGGCTGCATCGCCCCGAGAGTGGTGAGGCTGTGGCTGTCGTTGAAGATTTCCACAGACACTTCAGTGGACCAGGAGAGGTGAGAAGTTAAGTCTAGAACACTACCTGGAACTATTTTCTGGTGTTTGGATTAGCCTGGAAACAGGCATTCTCCATTCCCCAGATTCTAGGACAGTCTGTCTGTAGGGTTTCTTAACCTGCTTTATGGATGGAGGGGAAATAGTTTTGTGCTCCAGGGCATTAGAAAAAAAAGACAACTCGGCTAAGCTCTGTGAATCATCATTCTGTAAAACACTGTATGTGAGCCTACCGGTAGCCTACAGATCCACAAAGCATTCCAGGTAGGCAGGACATCTGCATGGTAGTTAGAATGGGAGGGAAGGGAGAGGAGGGTCTTGGGGCCTGCTCATAACACAGGTGCTCATTTGGGAAGCTCTCATGACTCCTTGCTGTGGATTCTCTCCCTTCCTGCCTCTTAGGTTCCTTTTGAGAGGTGACATTTTTGGGCCTATTCCTTTTGCTAGCTCTCCAAGTCCAACTTCTGTCTCCCTAATTTCAGTTTCCCTATTTCCTGGGTTTCTATTAAACTTAAAGCCAAGATAACGCAAACTAGAAGAAAAGTTGTAAAGAGGTAGCAGTATGATACATTGGAAAATCCAGCTTCTAGAACCACAAGGATAAGTGGCTCTGTGAAGCAGTAGGACATAAGGAGTAGGAGATAGGGAGCAGGGGTGTGGCTGGGGTGTGTGTGTGTATACTCACATGCCAGATCCTGAGAAGCTCATGAAAAATGTGTATTATCAAAAAAAACTACCCATAGGTTTCAAAATATTTTTATACCAAAATAAACTTCTTTTAATTTCCCACAATTTTTTCCTAATTTTTTATTTATTTATTTGAAAGAAAGATAGAGAGCTCCCATCTGCTAGCTCACCCTCCAGATTTCTGCAAAGGCCAGAGATGGACCAGGCCAAAGCTGGAAGGAACCTGGGAACTTGTTCCAGGTCTCCAGTATGGATGGCAGAGACATAACTACTTGAGCCATCACCTGCTGCCTCCCAGGGTCTGCATTAGCAGGAACTTGGGATCAGGACTCAAACATAGGCACTGCAATATGGGATGTGGGCATCCTTATCACTACATCAAACACCTGCCCCTCTAGGAACTTTCTGGAGTACATACAGTGGTATTAAAACAAAGAGGCTTATGTGATTGTAAGACTGCCGAGGCAAGTCAAATATCCCCAAGACAAGTCATCAGGGAAGGGCTGGAACTCTGGTACAAGCTGAAGCTGCAGTGCAGAGACCGAATTTTTTCATGAAACTTTGCCCCCTGCTTTTAAGGCCTTTCAGCTGATTGAGGCCCTTTCATCCATCCATCATACAGGGGTAGGGAATTTCCAGGCCACATAAATCCTGCAAAATCATTTGGTCTGGCTCTGCCAGGAGAACTGCAGGCAGGACTTGAAATTCAGTAAATCAATAGCAAGCTAATTTCTAAGCTGATAATTTTATATGGCCTGTGAATGATGTAAGAAATATCCTAATGGCCCTTAGCAGTAAAAAGGTTTCCCTCCCCTGTATAATTATCTAGGATAATCTCCCTTACTTAAAGTAAACTGATTATGGGCTTGAATCACATCTAGAAAATACTTCTCAGCAACAGCTGGATTAGTGTTTGATTAGTGCCAAGTTAACACATCAAGAGACTATCGTGCTGTGACACATTAGTTCCTCCTAATGAGTCTCAAATTGCTTCCTGGCCAGAGAAAGGGATCCCCTTGCATTTTACCAGGAAAACTAGTATATAGAATTTCCCAAACACCCAGCATGTCCTTTTTTAAAAAGATTTGTTTATTTGCAAGAGTTACAGCAGAGGGAGAGAGGAAGACAAATCTTCCATCCACTGGTTCACTCCCCAGATGGCCTAATCAGCCGGTACTGGGCCAGGCTGAAGCCAGGAGCCAGGAGCTTCTTCCAGGTAGGTCTCTCTTGTGGGTGCAGGGGGCCATCTGCTGTTGACCATTGGCAGGGTGCTGGATCGGGAGTGGAGCAGTTAGGACACAAACTGGCACCCGTAAGTGCAAGCAGCACTTTTACCCACTATGCCACAACGCTGGCCCCAGCATACTTTTTTTTTTTTTTAAGATTATTTTTATTCATGTGAAAGGCAGAGAAATGGTTTTTCCATCTGTTTTTCATTACCCAAGTGCCCACAACAGCTGGAGACTGGCCAGACCAAAGCCAGGAGCTGGGAGCTCAATCTGGATCTTCCACGAGGGACTTTCCAACTATTTGTGCCTCACTGTGGCCTCCCACAGTCTGAATTAGCAGGAAGCTGGGATCAAGCAGAGCTGGGACTTGAACTCAGGCTTTCCAGTAGGTGATGAGGATGCCCCAAGCGGTGTCTTCAGTGCTGTACCAAATGCTCCATTCCCCACTATATCATTTTACTCACTGCTTTTTTAAAAAATCTTTTCTCATTTTACTTTCTTATTTATTTGTTTATTATTTGAAAGGCAGAGTTAGAGAGAGAGAGAGAGAAGTCCTCCATACTCTGGTTTACTCTCCCAATTAGCCACAACAGCCGGAGCTGGAGCAGGCCAAAGAGTCAATGCCTAGGAGTCAATACACTGACTCCATTTCCTGCTCCTCCACTACTATCAGTGTTCTTCTGAAATCAAAACATGAGGGCAGGACTGTTTTTCCTTGTAGGAGTTCTGAAAATGTTGATTGAAAGCCTGTGTGAAAAAATAAAACAAAAAAAATTTTTTTTAAAAAAGGCTGTGTGAATAAGCAAGCTTTTCCATGACAGTTTTTCAGGAAGAGTTCAAGGAGGATCAGTGCAAATCAGATTCATTCTGCTCAGCAGGAGGAAGCCACTTTACTGCAGCTGAAGGGCATGGACAGGGGTGCACTTGGGGTTAGGTTGGGGGTATAGAGTTATCCTTGCTGGTTGCAGAATTGAGTGATTTACAACATGGCTTTTTTTTTTTTTTTTATCCTGTGTCTTAGCTCCGTCCAGGCTTACAGATCAGGCAGCACAGTAATCATTATATCCATTTGGCAAGTGAGGTGAACACGGGGAGGTTAATTAACTCACCAGCGAGGACAGGTCTAGTAAGTACTGTTTTGTCCACAAGGTTTAGCCTAAAATATATGTCCTTGCGGATTACCACTAAATGTGAAGGCTGGGGTTTTCCACCTTACTAGGTTCTAAGCCACTTGATTTTCTCAAGTGCAGGACTGGGGAACCCTTCTTCTACCAAGGGCCATTTGGATTTTTATAACATTACTCGTGGGCCATACAAAATTATTAACTTAAAAATTAGCCTGCTGTAGATTCACTGAATTTCTAGTCCCACCAACAGTTACTTTGGCAGGGTCAGACCAAGTGATTTTGTGGACCTTAAATGGCCCATGGGCCAGATGGTCACCAACTATACCCTAGTGCCATATGACGAATGCCATTCTAGAATGAGAATTGAAATGAGGTTTTCATGCCTAAAAGGAAAGGAAACCTGAGTCTGAGTCCTAGATAATGAACAGGAACTGTCAGTGAATTACAAGTTTGTTACCACAGTGCAGTTTAGTTCTGCCTTCTGCTAATTAATATGCACAGCTGCTGTGTTGAAGAGCTGTAACTGATTTATTAATAACTGCCTAGTGGAGAAGCTGGGGACCTCACACCCTGGGGAGCTTCTGGTTCTACCACTACTAGTGATAAATATATTAACAGAGAAAGTCCCTAAAATCTCAGTATATGTAACCCAAAAACGGCAAGTCCAGCACAGTTTATGGAAGAAGGTATATTTTACCTGTATTTGTGCTCTGAACATGCCACAGTGAGTGAGCTTGTAAATATGCTCTATTTAATTAATGTTTTGATTTTCTGCTCCAACTGCTGGTGAAAAAATATAACCATGAGATTGTTAAGGGCTAGTTAGGTAACAGGAAGCAAGGGTTAGAAACTAAATGTCTATGCTCTGAGGTTTTGTTTTGTTTTGTTTTGTTTTTAAAGATTTATTTATTTTGCTTGAAAGTCAGAGTTAAACAGAGAGAAGGGGGAGGGTATTCCATCTGCTGGTTCGCTCCCCAATTGGCCGCAACAGCCAGAGCTATGCCAATTCAAAGCCAGCAGCCAGGAGCCTCTTTTGGGTCTCCCACACGGGTTCAGGGACCCAAAGGCTTGGGCCATCCTCCACTGCTTTCCCAGGCCATAGCAGAGAGCTGGATAGGAAGTGGATCAGCCAGGTCTCAAACTGGGGCCCATATGGGATGCTGGCACTGCAGGCAGAGGCTTTACCCGCTATGCCACCGTGCCAGCCCTGAGGTTTTCTTAAGGTTTCTAAAGTATAGTGTTGCCTGATCCTAATTGATTTTTATATAAATTATTGAGGAGATATAGTACATAATTGAAAACTGAGTTTGCATATAACCCTAAAGACCTTTAGAAAATGTCAAAAGTCAGCAAATATTAATGGAACACTAACATGGGGGTAAGCATTAAGAGCTAGTAGCCAAAACTGGTAAATTCTTTCCATCAAAAAACTTAGGTTGTAGTGGAGGAAAAATAGACAATAAGGACATAAATAATATAATTTAAAAATTTGGCCGGCGCTGCGGCTCAATAGGCTAATCCTCCGCCTGCAGCGCCGGCACACTGGGTTCTAGTCCCAGTTGGGGTGCCGGATTCTGTCCCGGTTGCCCCTCTTCCAGGCCAGCTCTCTGCTGTGACCAGGGAGTACAGTGGAGGATGGCCCAAGTGCTTGGGCCCTACAACCCATGGGAGACCAGGAGAAGCACCTGGCTCCTGCCTTCGGATTAGCGCGGTGCACCGGCCGCAGCGTGCCGGCTGCGGCGGCCATTGGAGGGTGAACCAACGGCAAAGGAAGACCTTTCTCTCTGTCTCTCTCTCTCACTGTCCACTGCCTGTCAAAAAACAATTAATATATGCCATATAGAAAATATAACCAGGTAATCTGAGAGAGACTATCCCTGCTTTGTCAGTGTAGTAAAGCTTTTCTGAAAAGGAGACAGTTTCCTGTGAAATTGGGAAAACTCTTAAGGTTTGTGAGCTTTCTGTTCCAAAGTATTGTGTCAGCCCTCAGCTTTACAACATTATTTGTGCACATACAGGTATATACACCTGTCACTCTTTAATTCCTTTTACTTCTGCATGTTGTAGGCTAAGGCCCTAGAGAATGTACTGAATTGCTCTTCTGGCTCCCTCTCATAGATGATTCTTCATAAGCAAATTTGCATCTGAAGATCTGACACAGTAGAAATGGTTATAGAATCTGGTCCTCAGGTTCCTACCAAGCAGGTCAACAGAGGAATGGCAAGTAGGATTACAAGCTTTAGATTCTGCCTCGACAATTTTTCTTCTTAGGAAGCTGTACTGTTTCTCTCCTGTAGGCAGCTGCTAGGGCTGGAAGGACACTCTGACTCTTCTTTTCCATGGTTTGCTTTCTGGAGGAGGCTTCTTAGAGATTTGGGCTCAGCATCTTCAAGGATGCTATTTGGACCCAATTGTATTTCGATCTCTAGGTTTCAGCACCAATACAGGACCAGGAAGTGGAAGTGGAGGAGATGACAGCTCTTGGTACAGCAGAGGAATCTCATATCTCACCCTGCAGTGGGGGCTTATCCTCTGGAGCCCACCTGCAGCCTCATGACCCAGGGGCACACCACCACCCAACCACAATAGGCACTTGGTACTCATCTCCCGAACCGTGGCCTCAAATCATGCTTCCCTTATCTACTCAGGAGTCTCCTTCATCTGTCCATCTCCCACCTATTGGAATCCCTCTTGCCCTGCCATCTGTTTGTCTTCCCTAGTGATTTTTGTCTGTTCCTTCTTCAGTCATGTAGTTAGCAATTTTCTGTCAAGTCCATGTCATGGGAAATGCATTGCTGGGGACCGAAGAAATACAGTATACTCTCACTGCTTTCAAAGAGCTTGTTATCTTGTGGTAGGGAATTATTCATACATGTAAGAGGCCATCTCACAGGATACATATGAGTGACATCTGTCCTCAGGGATATGACCCCATCACATGTGAGCAATGTGGGTGTTGTAAAAGATGATCACTGGGTAAAAAGCAAGATCTCTGTGTGCTGCAGCAGGAAGGAGGTGCTTCATGGAGGAAGTAGCTGTGGGTGTTCAATGAAAAATGACAGAGGATTCTGAAGGAGCTAGAAAAGTGAAAAGTGTGCCATTTGCGAGGATATAAGCAAAAACTTCATATTGGGGTTTTCTTGAGCCCCTCCTAAGGTAGGCTCTGGAAGGGTTCTATTTGTGCAGGGCCTTTGAGGTTGAAGCCAGGAAGACGTTGGTGATCGGAGAGTGATATGTTAGTATGTAAGGAAGTTCACTCTGGTGAGCATTATGGATAGAAGAGGCTGTGGTAGTAGAAAGATGAGAGGTAGTTGCTGGCTGAATGGAAAAGTGTAGATGTGAAAAACACTATGATGGAAGGGTCCATAGGACTTGGGTTCCCAACAAAAGGAAGTGGGGTGGGTATTTGGCTTACCAGATAAAATGCCTCTTTCCAGCAACACAGTCCTTGGATTTGATCCCCAGCTCTGACTCCTGACTCCAGCTTCCCACTAACGCAGCCTCTTGGAGACCCCAGTGATGGCTTAAGTAATTGGTCTACATGTAAGACCTGAATTAAGTACCTGGTCCCTCCCAGCTTCAGCCTGGCCTAGCCCCAGCCCTTCTTTTCTCTCTCTCTCTCTCCCTCAAATAAATAAATAAATAAATAAATGGAGAGGAGGAAGAATGAAGAGTTTGGGTGTATGATAAAGTCATTTGACAGAATTTTGCAAATCAGTAAAGGAACAGAAAAAAATGAAATGTCTCATAGGCAACCAAAAGTGTGTGATAGGTGTGTCGTGTGGAGGGGAGAAGTGAGAACTATGAGAGAAGTGAGAAAGTCAGTGAGATCATTGACAGAAGGAAGCACCAGGGACTGGACTTCTAAGAGTGTCCATAGTGAGGACAGGAGCAGGAAGAAAGATGAGCTGTGAGGTGGAAAACAGGCTTGTGGTAGTTGCTGGGGAGGCCATGGGGAGAGAATGTGGTCAGAAGTGCAGTTTGCTTCAGAGAGGCTGAAGAGAATGAGCGCTGGGAGGAAGACTTTCTACTGAGCCCTCCAGGGAAAATTCACAGCACTCTTGGGATTATACCTTCTGGAAGAAGGAGAAGAGTCAGTGTGTGTGGAGCTCCCTGGGGTCTGTTGACTAAACTCAGTGGGAATATAGATCTTACCGCGGTGAGGGTGGGGCTTCTCCTGATCACAGCCTTCTTCCCTCTCTCAGTTCAGCTTGCTTCCCCAAGCAGGGAACTCAGGAGACCAAGCAGTGGCCACTGTGCTTTAGATGGTCAGGCCCCAGGCCTGCGTGGCTCTGTTTTCCCAAGTTCCTATGTTGTAGTCCAAGAATGGCTAGAGCTCACCCCCAGGGCCCTTCCCCTCTGAGACAGCACCTGTGGGTCTCCTGACTGCTTTCCCTGGAGCTGGGTTCCTACTTGTAGTTAGTGGACTCTGCTGCCCTGGACTTGTCCTATGGGATGGATCATCCTAGCTCCCTTTCCCCACCGTTTGGCCCACCAAGAGTTTGAACGCTCTGTATCTCTGATGCCTCTGCTCTTACACTGGGGATGTTCCCACGCAATAGAAGCTTGTCATCCCAGGAGACTGCAGTGTCTGAGGACCTGTCTGTGGACTCCAGTCAGGAGAACTGGAGAGGTCCAGCCCTCAGTCAGAGGGCCCCGCACCAGAACATGAAGCCAGAAAATCGCCATGACACGGCCTTGCTGTGTAATGGCTCTCTTTCCCAGTTGCCTGGAGTCTGCACTGTGTGCATTTTCTTTGCTGTATTCGTATTCGAACTTTTTATTATGAAGATTTCCAAATGTGGGTGAAGTAGCAGAGTGAATTCTGCATCCATTACTCAGTTTAGCATTCTCTTTACTTCATGATTGACAGGGTGTTTTTTTAAGTTCTGAGGAATAGGGAATCACTCAAGTTAGGATGAGTAAGGAGCTAGCTATGTGTTGTTGACTTAAAGGAATAGGAACCCAGAACAAACTAATGAACTAATGGACAGAGGTCTTCATGGAGATTAGGCCTTGACCTAAGGCAGCCTAAGAGCCTCACAGAAAAACCAAATGTTCCAGTGTGAATGAAGTACAACTGTTTACAAGTTTTCTGTCTCCTCTCACTGCTACCCATTTCTTCACTGAATCTTTTGTTAAATTACCATAGCTCTTCCTACTTATTTAGATTTTCTGATCCTTCATATTTGCTTGCTATGGGTCTTAATACCTTGAATTGGCTGCATGCATCATTTTAGGTTATACTCTGCCTCATAACTGACTTAATTTTAATTTTGCCTTACTTCCTATTCCAAACTTTATTAGAAAAGGCTTCTGGTTGATACAGCGATTGTATATCACCTGTTTAGGCAGTCTGTTGGCCCAGGCCACAGCAAAAATTAATGACTGCACTGTAGTTGAACTACACTTCCATCTATTTTCTGACTTTAAAGATTTATTTATTTATTTGAAAGTCAGAGTCCACGGAGAAAGAGATCCATCTGCTGGTTCACTGCCGGAATGGCCAAGGCTGGGCCAGGCCAAAGCCAGGAGTCAGGAGCTTCTTAACAATTCTCATACGTGCGTGCAGGGGCCGAAGAACTCGGCCCATCCTTCACTGCTTTCCTAGGCACATTAACAGGGAACTGGATTGGAAGTGGAACAGCCGGGACTGAACTGTCACCCATATGGGATGCAGGCGGCAGATCTACCTGATAAGCCACAATGCCAGCCCCCATCTTTAACATTCTATATACTAAGTGGCCGGTTGACTATAGCCCTGGTTAAGATATGATTGAAAGGAAACAGCATGTTAGGAACCAATCCTGACCACAATATTTCTCCCTTCTCCCATATTTTGTATTCAAAACCAGAATTTAAGGTGAATGTTAAGTTATCTTTCTAGAGAACCAAGATCCCATATGTCGCTCCCCCATTCACAGAGGAACGACACTAAACCCTGCGCTGTTCTTTTTGTCTGCTCGGCCCTTCCCAGGTTTGCTGCTGGTCCTTCCCGGGTTGGCTGCCATCCCTCCACCTCCGTGGAGGGGCGGGCCCCCCTGCCACTTTCCCCACTTCTGCAGGGGAGCGGCACACTGCCAGCCGGCTCTCTCGGGGGCTGCTCAGATGTTCCTCAGGTGTTCCTCTTAGATGTTCCTGGTGCATGTTGTCTCTCTCCTCCTTTATAGTCCTCTTCCACCAATCCCAACTCTGCTACCCACACGCTGAGTACGCTGCTCTCCTGCAATCAGGAGCAGGATCAGCTCCTGCAGGTTACTGGTCGAACTGGAGGCAGCTGTGTAAAAGTTGTTTACTCCTCTCCCAGCGCCATATTGTGGGAGAGCAGATGCATAGAATAAGTCTTAATTCCAGTAACTTAGTCTAGTCCGAGTTGCTCCCCACACCATAAAGATATTTTAATTCATATTTCAAATTATTGCTGCCTTTCTTGTTATATGATAATAAATCCTTTTCTTGTCAGTCCAGTGCTCTGGGGACCAGTGGTATTCCCACTTTTGGACCTCCTCTTCTGCCCCCTTTAACATGGGTCCCCAGCATTTCTGATCCTATAGCATCTCTAAATTTCGTCACTGTCGTGTCATATAAGATCTCTTCTTTTTGTGCACTTTCCTATCCATATTCTCTTTACATAGACTTCCCATCAACTCACTCCCATCTTTATTCCTCTCACTTTTTCATATTTGGCTTAAGATATTTGCCACTCTTGTATCTTGCAACATGTTGTCTGTAAAGCAGGAAACCACACAGCATCATGGTTGGAAAGGAACTTAGAGATCCTTAGTTTACTAAGGAGACTTGGCATTACAGTGACTTCTTTAAGATCATCACATGCTTTTTTTTTTTTTTTTTTTTTTTTTTTTTTTTTGACAGGCAGAGTGGACAGTGTGAGAGAGAGAAACAGAAAGGTCTTCCTTTTCCGTTGGTTCACCCCCCATTGGCCACTGCGGCCGGTGCACTGCGGCTGGCGCACTGAGCTGATCTGAAGCCAGGAGCCAGGTGCTTCTCCTGATCTCCCATGCAGGCGCAGGGCCCAAGGACTTGGGCCATCCTCCACTGCACTCCCAGGCCACAGCAGAGAGCTGGACTGGAAGAGGAGCAACTGGAACAGAATCCGGTGCCCCGACCAGGACTAGAACACAGGGTACCGGCGCCGCAGGTGGAGGTTTAGCCTAGTGAGCCACGGCGCCAGCCATGTCATGCTTTTCAGTCCTGGAGACTACTTTCCAGTTACCATTTTCACTTTTTAAGAAAGAGTTATTTCAAAGGCAGAGTTAGAAAACGTCAGATATCTTCCATCCGCTGGTTCACTCCCCCAAATGGCTACAATGGCCAAAGCTGGGCAAATCCAAAGCTGGGAGCCAGAGGCTTCTTCTGGGTTTCCCATGTGGGTATAGGGCCCAAAGTACTTGGGCTGTCCTCTACTGCTTTACCAGGTGCATTAGCACAGAGCTGGATTGGAAATGGAGCACCCTGGACTTGAACCAGCACCCATATGGGATGCTGGTGCCACAGGTAGCAGTTTTACCCACTAGGCCACAGTGCCATCCCCATCATTGTCACTTGACTGTGCTGGCTTAACCTTTGTCTCACTGTCATTTTTTCACCTTCCACTGTCTTCCTGACCGTCTTTCTTGTCATCCTGCTGGCCATCTTCTCTCCCCTTATTTTTCTGTACCTTAATTAAAAATTGAGACACTTCTATTTCCTGTCTTGTTCTCTGTACTATGTCATTCCTTAACCTTCGGGAAGCTTTTGTGACTTTTCTTCAGGTCCATGGGATCTTCATGATTCTTTCTGATCCCTCAACAGCACAAGAAATGAGTAAAAGTTGTTTTCTTCTTTCTTTTGGCAGCAGGTAGGAACGTGGAAGAGAGTTCAGAACTGACTCCAGAGCAGGACCTATCTAAAGGATTGGAGTCATCTGATAGGATGTCAGGGGGACTGTTTGGGGTAGTTCCTGGGGGATCAGAACCTGGAGCTGTCTGTGGAGATACTTTAGAGAAGCTAGAAGGGCAGCCTTCAAGTGAAGAAGGGAGCAGACTGCAAAGTGACTTCTTCAAAATAAGACACAAAGATAAGGAAAAATCCACAAAAGATACATGTGAGGATTATAAGGAAGCAGAGGAACATCAAGGAGGCCTGAAGGGACAGAAGTTCTACCAGTGTAATGAATGTGGCAAATTCTTTAGTTGGCGTTCCCACCTCATTGGCCACCAGAGAATCCACTCGGGAGAGAAACCCTATGCGTGTAGTGAGTGTGGGAAGACCTTCAGGCAGAGCTCTCAGCTCATTGTTCACCTCAGAACCCACACAGGGGAAAAACCCTATGAATGCCGGGAGTGCGGGAAGACCTATCGGCACAGCTCCCATCTCATTCAGCACCAGAGACTCCACAATGGGGAGAAACCTTATAAATGTAGTGAATGTGCAAAAGCCTTTAATCAGAGTTCCAAACTCTTGGATCATCAGAGGACCCATACCGGAGAGAAACCTTATGAATGCAAGGAGTGTGGAGCAGCTTTTGGTCGTGGTAAAAATCTTGTGCGACACCAAGTCCTTCACACTGGTAAGAAACCTTACAAGTGTAATGAGTGTGGGAAGGCTTTTTGTTCCAGCAGAAATCTTACTGACCATCAAAGAATCCACACCGGGGAGAAGCCTTATCAGTGTAATGAGTGTGGCAAGGCCTTCAGTCGGAGCAAATGTCTCATTCGTCACCAGAGCCTCCATGCTGGGGATCGACCATACACATGTAGTGAATGTGGCAAAGCCTTCAGTCAGATCTCTCAGCCTGTTGTCCATGAGTGAATGCATACTGGAGAAAAACCTTTTGAGGCTGGCGCCGCAGCTCACTAGGCTAATCCTCCTCCTTGCGGCACCTGCACACCAGGTTCTAGTCCCGGTCAGGGCGCCGGATTCTGTCCTGGTTGCCCCTCTTCCAGGCCAGCTCTCTGCTGTGGCCAGGGAGTGCAGTGGAGGATGGCCCAAGTACTTGGGCCCTGCACCCCATGGGAGACCAGGATAAATACCTGGCTCCTGCCATTGGATCAGCGCGATGCGCCAGCCACAGCGCGCCAGCCGTGGCGGCTATTGGAGGGTGAACCAACGGCAAAAGGAAGACCTTTCTCTCTCTCTCTCTCTCTCTCTCACTGTCCACTCTGCCTGTCAAAAAATAAAAAAAAAAATACCTTTTGAATGTGGCAAGTGTGGGAAGGCATTCAATCTGAGTAAATGCCTTATTCGGCACCAGAGACTTCACTCAGGTGAAAAGCCCTATAAATGCAGGGAGTGTGGAAAATCCTTCAATTAGAACTCTCACCTCATCATACACCAGAGAATTCACACTGGTGAGAAGCCCTATGAATGTAAGGAGTGTGGGAAGGTCTTCAGTTATAGCTCCAGCCTTATTGTACATCAGAGAACTCATACCGGGGAAAAGCCTTATAAGTGCAATGATTGTGGGAAAGCATTTAGTGACAACTCACAGTTTATTGTACACCAGAGAGTTCACACTGGAGAGAAACCCTATGAATGTATTGAGTGTGGGAAAGCCTTCAGTCAGCGTTCCACCTTTAATTATCACCAGCGAACTCACACTGGAGAGAAACTCTCAGGTCTGGCTCAGTCTCTTCTTAAGGTCTGGTTCTCTGCCAAGTACAAGGAACTTTATGATGTTTTTCTAGGAAGAAGGATGCTCACTGCCGTCTTCTCCTGGAAGTACTAATCAAAGCTTGGCCTTCCCTAGCTGCTTTCCACTGGGTCACTCACTTGGGAGCTGGGAGTATCATGGTGCAATCTTTCACTAGTATTGGGAAAGTAGGGACTACATGTTTCACTTGAAGATTTCCCTTTTCCTATATTTTAAAATGTTAACTATTTTTATATATCTCATTTAAAAATTTTCTTACTCATTTGAGAAAGAGCTCCTGTCTGCTCTTTTGCTTCCCATGTACCTGTAATAGCTGGCGTGGTTGGTGAAACAGTGTCCCATATGGGGACGCAGAGATCCAACTTCTTGAGCCATCTTTGCTACCTCCAGGGGTCAGTACTGCTAGGAAACTGGAAACGGGAACCAGAACTGGGACTGGAACCTAGGCACTCTCTTGTGGACTTGGATGTCCTAACCCATATTTTAATTTCCAGGCCTAACACCCACCTTCTGTCTCTTTCCAACTATGCATCCTGTAATCAGACTGTGCGCTTACCAGATACAGAGATATCTTCTCTATTCCATGGGATTACCTTCATTTCACTATTTACATAAAAGTATTCTGTAAGACCCTAATTCTTTCCTGCCTGTTTAATATGGTCCTCCACATCTACTTTTTTCAACCTATAACTCGTAGCTTCTCATCACTGTGTTCTCTCCCTGAAAACCTTTACTTCTGTTTCGTAATACATGTTCCTTCAGTTCCTTCAAGATCTATCTTATCACTTAGACTTTCTTCTTCAAATGTTTTTTTTTTTTTTTTTGACAGGTAGAGTTAGAGAGAGAGACAGAGAAAGGTCTTCCTTCCGTTGGTTCACTCTCCAAATGGCCACTTCGGCTGGCACTGTGCCCATCCAAAGCCAGGAGCCAGGTGCTTCTTCCTGGTCTCCCATGCGGGTGTAGGGGCCCAGGCACTTGGGCCATCCTCCACTGCCCTCCTGGGCCACAGCAGAGAGCTGGACTGGAAGAGGAGCAACCGGGACTAGAACCCAATGTCCATGTGGGATGCTGGCATTGCAGGAGGAGGATTAATTAACGAAGTGAGCCACAGGGCTGGCCCCTTCAAATGTTTCTTTATTCCCCTTAAGCTTCCATTAATTTGACCTGAATGGTTTAAATTATCTGGTGCTACAATGTTGCAACTATTATTGAATTGCCTTGTACACTGTTCTTAACATAATGTATATACTTTCATTGACTTCTTGATGTTGTGTATGTATCTCAGCATACAGGTAACAGTTTATATATACTAAATAATTTTTGAACCTCAACCCTTAAATGGAATCATTCTTAAAGTATGCACAATCTCCTCCCCCAATCAGAACATAAGCTTCTAAAGATGGCAGTGCATCTTATCATAAGACATCACATACAAATACGCCATTGTGTTCTACGTGTACTCCTGAAGTCTTTCTACAAGTACTGTCTTTAAAAAGCTAGTATGTGTGTGTGTGTGTGTGTGTACATGTATATGTACATCTCTCAGCTGGGGTGGGCAATTGTCCCAATGATAGAAGGGGCCTACAAAAAGTATGAAAAATGTGTATTTTGAAAAAACTCTGCATAGATTACCAATTTTCATTGCACCAAAATAAACTCAGATTAGTTACACAGCATGTGTGAGCAGGATCTAGTTTGAAGCACTAAGCCATATAAGATGTTAGTTCAAGAAGAAACTATCAAAGCAACATGAATCCTGCTAAAATGGAACAAGAACATCCAATTTATGGTGAAGCTTGGGTGGAAGAATGCTTTATGACAAGTTTGTGGTGGCAGTGCCTCAGAGAAATCAGACATTTACAAATGGGTAATTTGAAGAATGGAGATGATGTTTAAGAAGAAGCCCAACATGGCAGACCACCCAGATCAGTCTGCAAGGCAAAAAACTTGAGCATGTCTTAACTGACCAGGACTGATGACTAGTAGCAGAAACAAAAGGCAGATACTGGTGCAGCTTACACAGTTCTGACAGAAATTGAAGTGGAGCAGACCTTCTGCTGGATGGGTGCTAAAACTATTGCATTCAGATCAGCTGCAGACAAAATTAAAACTTTCAATGGAAAACAAATGGGATCAAGATCCTGAAGAGTTTCTTCTAAAAAATGTATCAGGAGATGAAACATGGCCTTACCAGTAGGATCCTGAAGACAAAGCATAATCAAAGGTTCCCAAGACGTGGAAGACATCCAGTGATAGCAAAAGTGCACTGGTTAAGAGCAGAGGTCATGGCAGCACCATTGGGGACATTCAAGGCATTCTTTCTATTGACTTCTGGAGGGCCAAAGAACATCATCTGCTCACTAGAGCGTTTTGATAAAGTTAGCCAAAGCTTTATGAAACCGTGATGGAACTCCCTCCTGCTCACTCCCCTTACCAAACAAGGGCAGTTTCCTGAGAGTTTCTATGGGAAATCATTAGACATCCATCTTACTGTCCTGACTTGGCTCCTTTGGCTTGTTTTTATTTCCTAATCTGGAAAAAAAATCCGAGTTCTTTAGTTATCACTTAGAAAAGCGTCGTGAACTGGATGGAGCTTATGTTGAGAAGTAAGGTTTATAGTCTTTAAACTCCATTTTTCACTAGCTTGTTGACATCCCCTCGTATATGGAAGAAAAGTTTCCTTAACCATGTAGAAAATAAGGAAGACAGGAACATGCCTGCATAATTGTTTATTTTAAACAGGTTCATCCACAGATCCTGAGAGCCTTCCAGCCCAAGCCCAACAAGAAGCGAGCTTGGAGCAGCCTGGCCTCACTGTAGGCCCCCAGCACCGCGCCATGCTTCATGCTGGCGGGAAACAGGTGGGTAAGAGTTCCATCTCCCTGCAGCCTGTGTGAGCCGCTTTGAGGCAGTCGCGGCCGTCTGCCTTCCATTCCCAGATCTTAGGAGGTGGCAGGGTAGGGGTCAAGGGCAGGCGCTGACTCCTAAAGTGAATTTTCCACCTCTACACCAGCACAGGCAACTGGGAGGTGCACGGACAAATGTCTCCAGTGCTTTGGAAAAGCGCTTCCATGGCGCGGACTGTGAGAAGCCGGCACCTGTTCTCCATTGAGGGACCGCAAGTCCATTTTCCGGTATCTGTGGTGGGAGGGAGGCGAGCGCCCTGCCCTCTCTGTCCGAAGCCCTCAGCAGCGCGCCTCAGCCTTTCCTTCCAAGGCCTGAAGGGCTGCCCTCTTCTCCGTCCGGCAACTTCGCCCCGACTGCTCGGCCCCTCGCCCCTCGCCCCTCGCCCCTCGCCCGCAGCGCCGAGCCCCGGGACCTTGAGCGTCACGTCGCACCGCTCGTCAGGAAGCCGCAGGTGCGACCGGCAGGTGCGCGGACACCGGACACCGAGAGGTGCCCCCGGGGTCCTCCGGCTTCTCGGCGACCGCCACCTCCCCGCCCTGACCGTGGCGCTGCGACGTACGGCAAGGAGCTAGGAGCGAGCGGGCTGGCGCGGCCATCGTAGCTGCAAACTAGCGAAAGCCCCGCTTCCTGGCTTACCTGCCGCCTTCATTCCGGGTAGACTGGTTTCCTGTGTGCTGCTGCTGTCTGCAGTCCTTGCGCAGCCCTGAGCGGCGTCCTCGGCGCCCAGGCTCACCGCCACGCCCCCCCCCCCCCAGCTCCCGGACGTGGCTCGTTGCTGTGGCGACCGTGTACACAGCTGGGCTGCCGCACCTGCTGACTGCGGGGTCGCGTGCGGGGTTAGGTGCCTGCGGTGGCGGCCGCGCGCCGGAGGGAGGAGTGGAAGGGACTAGGCTGGACGATGTCGCCCGGGCGGTGCCAACGGCCGGAGCTCGAAAACCGCTGCCTCCGGGGGTCCCCGACTTGGGTCGCTCGATTGCGAAGTCCTGCGCGGAAGCGCGCAGCACCGCGGGGCCTGTTTCAGCGTTGACTGCAGCTAGGGGTCCTCGGAGCTAGTAGTATCCCGGGTCCCACAGAGCTGCCGAGGCGTGGGCGGCGTGAGGCGGCGACCAGGAGTCTCAGGATTCTTCTGTACCCGTGGGCTTTCTCACTGGGTCACAGAGCCAGGCCCTTCGCCCTCCGGGTAAGAAAACCCTTACAGAAAGAAGACAGCATTGGGCACAGGGACCCTTGCCACCCGGGCTCCCTACAAAGGGTAAGAAAAAAGACAAACGCTGGTTTTGTGTGGATCGCAGTTTTGTGCTCAGCCCAAGGCTGGGTGCAGTTGGGCCCTGAGTTTTGGGTCCAGGTGCTTGGGGGTACTGTGGCTATGAGGGTTCCCCATGAGAGCCCCCGTCTGGGCAGGAGCTCTGAAGGACAGGAACCTGCCTGGTGCCTTTTCTCCCATCAGTCAGGGATGCTGAGTGGCAAATCTGTTCGTTCTCAAATGAGGAAGCCACGAGCCTCTCAGCTCGGGGGTGTCCTGACTCACTTTGCTGCACCAGAACCCCCCGAAGGTGGTGTCCAGAAGAGAGGGGGCATTTCCCAGGAGGCCACCAAAAGGGGAGATTTGATGAGGGGCTTCTGGCACCTGGAAACCCAACTCTTCTGCAGGGCTGTGGGCTCAGGACTGGAGACGGTATGGGAGGGAGTGGCATCCTGTGTCCCTGGGGCTCTCTCAGTAGTGACCAAAGATGGACACACATGGGGAGATTCAGCTGTCTTCTGACTTCCAGCCATGCCCTTTGTCACCACCAGCCACCATTTCTTAAGCACCTGCTTTGTGCTGGGCGCTGTTCTGGGCCTGGTGGGGGGATTCAAAAGAGAGAAAAGGCATAGTCCTTGCCCTCAAGTACCTTATAGTTTAATCTGGAAGCTGAAGCTCACTCAAATGAAGTAGCGTAAAACAATAACTAGCAGGATTTCAGTAAGTGCAGGTGTCACTGTTGAGCAGCTGCCAGGTAGCAGGCTCCTGGGAGGGTGTGGTTCACGCAGAAGGCTTTCTGCAGCTGGGTGTGGCTCCCAGCATGCTTGGAGCTGGGGCATGAGCATACCAGGGCTGTGGGCAGCGGAAAGGTGCTGCATGTGCATGTGCATGTTGGCCAGTTGTTGGCAGGGAAGGGTCAGGCCTGGGTCGGGGCTGTGCTCCACTCCTGCTGTGTTTGTTTAAGGTCTCAACACCTGTTCTCAAAGCACCCCTGCTTCTTCATGGTCCCTTTCAAAGGATACCCTGGATGACATCTGAACTTCCCAGGGCAGGAGGATGGGCCCCTGGGAGTGACAGGGGAAGTGTTTTTCAGAACTTTAAAAATAGAGCTTAAGTGTTTGCGTCAAAACTCGCTTCTCTCCTAACTCCCCAACAGCAAAGATCAAAGCGAACTTACAGGTGAGATGTTCTCCTTTTGAAATTTATGAAGAGACTATCTGTGGCTTTTTATCTCTCGAGTTCAAATTTGCAGACAAAAATATGGGGACTTAAAGTGGACAAGCCATTATCTTTGTTCACCCCAGATATCTTTCAGAATCATTGTTTTAAAGATTTATTTATTTTATTTGAAATTCAGAGTTACAGAGAGAGAAAGAGAGAGAGGTCTTCCATCCACTGGTCGCTCCCCAGTGGCCACAATGGCCAGAGCTGGGCCAGGCCCAAGCCAGGAAACAGGTGTTTCATACAGGTCTCCCACATGGGTGTAGGGACTCAAGGACTTGGGCCATCCTCCACTGCTTTCCCAAGCACATTAGCAGGGAGCTGGATTGGAAGTGGAGCAGCCAGGACTCGAAACAGCACCTAAATGGCATGCCGGCACTGCAGGTGGCAGCTTTACCTGCTATGCCACAGCACCAGCCCCAAGATTCATTTTCTAAAATACAAAGGTCTGAAACTGTTGGCTCCTGGCTTCAGATTGGTGCAGCTCCAGCCATTGTGGCCAATTGGGGAGTGAACCAGCAGATGGAAGACCTCTCTTTCTCTCTGCCTCTCCTCTCTCTGTAACTCTGACTTTCAGATAAATAATAAATAAATCTTTAAAAAAAATAAAATAAAACACAAATGTCTAATTGGCCACAGAGTGGCTAGGGGAAGACTTCCTAATAACATGAGAAATATAGGAAGTACATGCATACTCTAGGGAGATATAGTTGGAAGAGGAAACCAAGTGTAATAAGTTACATCTGGACATGTTGAAAGACATATTTTTAATATCTGAAGTAATTTTTGTGAGGTAACAATAACCCCTTTGTAGATAATTAACATGTAAAGTGTTACCATTCTTCAATGTATTTTTCTTACGATTTATTTATTTTATTTGAAAGAGAGAAAATCTGTCATCTGCTGGTTCACTCCTCAAATGGCCACAATGGTCAGGGTTGGGCTGACCTGAAGCCAAGAGCCAGGAGCTTCCTCCAGGTCCCCCAGTTGGGTGCAGGGGCCTTCCTCTGCTTTCCCAGGAGCATTAGCAGAGAGCTGGAATAGAAGTGGAGTAGCCAGGACTCAAACTGATGCCCATATAGGATGCCAACACTGCAGGCAGTGGCTTTACCTTCTACACTACAGCATCAGCCTGTAATGTATTTTTTTTTAAAGAACAATACTAACTACACAAAGGAAGAAATATCTGTAATATGTGATTATCTTTTCATTTATTTACACTAAAGGTGTTAAAATTACTTTAGAGTATATTAAGTATCTTTTCAGTTTATTTGCCAGAGTCCTCGGCAGTGGTGTCAGCAAGCAATTTTTTTCCAATTTGAAGCTGGAAATTGACAGCTCCTGATGCCTCGTTTCCCTAACCTTATACAAATGCTGCAGCAAATGCCTTTGGTGATTGTCATTTTCAAAAGTGTTTCCAGAAGTTTTCTTTAGCCTTACCTCTATCCTTTCTCCTTATTTTAGGGGAAAATGCATCATTTCTTGTTGAACTGATCTGATGCTGATGGGAGGTCAAAAAAGAAGTGCATAATATAGCAACTGTTGTGCCTGCACACCCCTTCTCCATCCACAATATGGAGCAGTAATTCCTAGTGGATTTTTAATATTTATATTTATAGTACCATGAATATAAATATTTTTTAAAAGTTTGACAGCCTAATTTTAGGACTGCTATGTGATGATATTCTTCAAATTATTAAGAAAAAGGAAAAAATATGAAACTTGTATTATTTCAGATAAAATAATACAAAGTTTATAAGTAAAATTAGAAATGTTCCATCTTGACCGGTGCTGTGGCTCACTAGGCTAATCCTCCACCTGCGGCGCTGGCACCCTGGGTTCTAGTCCTGGTTGGGGTGCCAGATTCTGTCCCGGTTGCTCCTCTTCCAGTCCAGCTCTCTGCTGCGGCCCAGGAAGGCAGTGGAGGATGGCCCAAGTGCTTGGGCCCTGCACCCACATGGGAGACCAGGAGGAAGCACCTGGCTCTTGGCTTCAGAACGGCGAGGCAAGCTGGCAGCAACACGCCGGTCATAGAGTCCACTTGGGGGGTGAACCAACGGAATGGAGACCTTTCTCTCTGTCTCTCTCTCTCTCTCACTGTCTAACTCTGCCTATCAAAAAAAAAAAAGTTTCATCTTAGGACAATTTAAAATTATTCTATTGATTTTTCCAGTCATTTTGAGTAATAAAGTTAGAGATTTTTATCTTATTTTTTAGTATTACTTAACCATATTTAATACAATCTTGATTACAGATGGTTTTTACTTAACTTTCCTTAGAAATCTTGGAATTTTCTCTCAATATATAATCCTTTGTCATCAATGTGTATAATGAAAAGTTGATTAAGTTTGGTTTTTTTTGTTTGGTTTGTTTTTTTTTTGTTTTTGTTTTTTTTTTTTTTTTTTGACAGGCAGAGTGGACAGTGAGAGAGAGAGACAGAGAGAAAGGTCTTCCTTTGCCATTGGTTCACCCTCCAATGGCCGCTGAGGCCGGCACGCTGCGGCCGGCGCACCGCGCTGATCCGAAGGCAGGAGCTAGGTGCTTCTCCTGGTCTCCCATGGGGTGCAAGGCCCAAGCACTTGGGCCATCCTCCACTGCACTCCCTGGCCACAGCAGAGAGCTGGCCTGGAAGAGGGGCAACCGGGACAGAATCCGGCACCCTGACCGGGACTAGAACCCAGTGTGCTGGCGCCAAAAGGCGGAGGATTAGCCTACTGAGCCGCGGCGCCGGCTAAGTTGATTATTAAGTTTTAAGTCTCCCTTAAAGCAATAAAAGTTAGTGTCATTATCACCTCTGTTTATTTTTTAGGAAATGTATGCACACCGCAGCTCAATAAGCTAATCCTCCGCCTTGTGGCGCCGGCACACCAGGTTCTAGTCCCGGTCGGGGCGCCGGATTCTGTCCCAGTTTCCCCTCTTCCAGTCCAGCTCTCTGTTGTGGCCCGGAAAGGCAGTGGAGGATGGCCCAAGTGCTTGGGCCCTGCACCCCATGGGAGACCAGGAGAAGCACCTGGCTCCTGCCATCGGATCAGTGCGGTGCGCCGGCCGCGGCAGCCATTGGAGAGTGAACCAACGGCAAAAGGAAGATCTTTCTCTCTGTCTCTCTCTCTCACTGTCCACTCTGCCTGTCAAAAAAAAAAAAAGGAAAAAAAGGAAATTTATGTCTTGAAAGATGTAGTAATAGAGAGAGAAAGACAGAGAGAAAGGTCTTCAACTGCTGGTTCACTCCCCAAATCCCTGCAACAGCCTGAGCCGGGCTGATCCAAAGCCAGGAGCCAGGAGCTTGAGCCCAAGTACTTGGGCCATCTTCTACTGATTTCCCAGGCCATTAGTAGGAAGCTGGATTGGAAGAGGAGCAGCCAGGATCCAAACTGGTGCCCATATGAGATGCTGGCACTGCAGGCAGAGGCTTAGCCCAATATGCTACAGTACCATACATTATCACCTCTGTTTAATAACCCTGTTTGTTTCTTCACATATGTCAGTGCTAGAAACAAAACTGACCATCTGATTAATATTGAATATTTTTACACAAGCATTCCTAAGAGGGAGTTCAGTGTAATTTGACCAGTGATACTAATATCCTAGAAAATATGATATTAATTATTTAGAGGGTTGTGCAATTCAATTTTTAAATTTTTATAAGTTATTTTTATTGGACAGGGTCTCATGAATCAGTCCTCCATTCAGTGCAGCAGTCACCTTTGTAGCATCCCTGTTGACCTAACTATTGACAGTGTTTGTCAACACACTACCTTGAGAAGGTCTTTTCCATCCTGACATCTAGAAAAGTCATTTACCCAAATCTGCCTCCCTGTCACTTGTATCTATACTCTTCCATCATAGTCCAGGAAACAACACTAGAAACTTATTTTAACATTTTACTGAGCTTGTACATGGTATTCATGATTGTATAGATGAGGGAAGGCACATGTATTTGTGGCTACCTGAAAGGAAATGATGAGGCTGTACTTAGGTTTTAGGAGAAGAGGGTAAGATAGGGGACTTTTTGCTTTTTCTTTCAATGGAGTGAGAAGAGAAGGAATAGTTGATTCTAGACTATACTAAATATACCGTCAGGGCATATGTTTCTGATTCAGTTGGTCTAAGTAGAAGAGGGGATTCTGTATCTAAAGCAAGCCATGTTAAAGAAGAAAAAATGAGTATGAATGTATTTTTTTAAGATTTTTTAATTTATTTTGAAAGACAGAGAGAGAGACAGAAAGAGAGGTCTTTGATCCTCTGGGTCATTCCCCCAAATGGCTGCAATGGCTGGGGCTGGGCTAGGCTAAAGCCAGGAAGCAGAAGCTTCTCTGGGTCTCCCACGTGGGTGCAGGGGCCCAAAGACTTGGGCCATCTTCCACTGCTTTCCCAGACCACAGCAGAGAGGAGCAGCCTGGACACAAAGCAGTGCCTGTATGGGATGCCAGCACTGCAGGTGGCAGCTTAACCTGCTGCACCACAGCGCCAGCCCCAAAATGAATGTATTCTATAGTGTTTTTGAAGAAGATAGAACCAGTGAGGCAAAACATAAGCGGGCCCATCTTAGATGCAGAACATTTCTAGAAACAACATCTAAGATGAGGCAAATAAAGGAAGTACTGTGGCTTGGTTATTTGTTCCCCTCAAACTGAAGAGTTTAGTCTGCAGAGTCTTACATTAATGATTCTAAGGGTAATAATTCAATCCAACGAAGTCTAGAAGTGGGGCATTCGGGTAGAGGTTAGGTTAGATTGTTAGGTGAGGCCCCGTGATTGAATCATGTGGCTGGACGAGAGATCACGTTTGTGCAGACAGACACACATGCTCCTTGCCTCTTGCCAGGTGATGCCCTGGGCTACCTTTGGAGTCTACCAGCAAGAAAATCACCAGAGGCTGAACCAATGGGCAGATCTCCAGAACCACAAGCCGAAATAAACTTTCCTTCTCCATAAAGTTAAGCTGCCTCAGGTATTTCCTTATAGTAATGCAAAGCTGACTAAGATAGGGAGCCTTCATAAAGAGTTTTGGTCTTACAGAGTCGCTGGTAACAAATGCCCTGCGGAGGGGCCAAGAGGAAGCCTGGCCCTCTGCAGGGCGGGAGGAAATGGTGCTCTTTCCGATCTCTTAATGAATGCCTGATCTTCTGATCTCAATGAATAACTCGTCGTTATTTCACAGTGGCTGCTGAAAATCTTGCCATTTTCTTCTCCTTAGCTAGAATGGATACTAGGAAAAAAGTTCATGCGTTTGTGCGTGTCAAACCCACTGATGACTTTGCTCATGAAATGATCACCTATGGAGATGACAACAAAGTAAGTGCCGTGTGTTTGCCTTCACCTGCCTGGGCCTCTCCCCATCCTACCTCAGTAGTGTGACCCTGTTTCTGAGCAGCTGCCTCAGGACCAAGACAGAACTGGTCAGAGTTCCAGTGGATTCTAGAATCTGTCAAGTCCAAACCACTCCCTCATGATGCTGTTATTTGGGAAGTTTTTGAGCCTCCCATCTTTGTCTTTTAATAATTTAATATCAGACACAAGAAAATGGACATTTTCCCACACTCAACACTTGCTGGTGATTAGGTCTGGCATTATGCAATCTTTGAGGGAATATAGTAAAAATGTCTTTTTTAAAAAAGATTTATTTGTTTATTTGAAAAGGAGGGAGGAGAGAGAGACAGAGACAGAGAGAGAAAATCTTCTGTCTTTTGATTCAAATGCTCACAACAGGCAGGCCTGGAGCAGCCCGAAGCCAGGAGCCTAGAATTCCATCTGGATCCCCCCTGTGAGTGGCAGGGACCCAAATACTTGAACCATCATCCGCTGCTTTTGCTGGCACATTAGCCAGGAGCTGGATCAGAAGTGGAGGAGCTGGGTCTTGAACCAGCACTCTGATGTGGTGTACAGGCATCCCAAGTATCAGCTTATCCCAGGGCACCATAGTCTCTGCCGCTAAGAATGTCTTGAGTTTGTTACTGTTAAATTTATCAAGGCAGTGTGAGAAACCGATCACAAGAACTGGAACGATTTATCTGGCCTGTGTCCTCAGAACCCTTCTGAAGCCTGTGCAGGCTTAGGTCAGCAGCCAAGTGTTGGGTGTTTTCATTCAGCAAACGTCTGTGGGCATACTACAGCCCGTGTTCTTGGTGTTAGTGTCGCACTGCATGGCCATGTCTTGGCTCCCAGATGACAGCAGCCAGTGCAAGATATCAGCAAGAGTCTGTTCACATCAGAAGTCTGCATCAAGAAGCTGGGGATTATACGGGAATTGACCTTACCCGATGGTGTCCTTGAACCAGCTGCAGCCACAGCTGCCCAGCTGCCAAGGAGTGTACACCTTAATATCTGCTGACCACAGCAAGCTGGACTGCCCCGCTTCACTATGATCCCTGTGAGTGAGTGTATCCAGAAAGGCCAGGGTGTTTTCTGTGGCTGTTCTTTTCCTTGTTACACTGGCCTACACCAGGTGTAGAAGTAGGAGCTCACTACAATGCAGAGCTGAGGGAGGCCTCACAGCAGGGAGCAGGGAAGCAGGGAGATGGGGCTGGCACCCAGGCCTGGCACCAAGCTCCCTGCTCGTTATGCCCTAATTCAGTACCTCCATGTACTTGCTGAATCTCACCTTGCTTAATCAGAACATTTTCCGGACCCTGTGACATAGATGGGGGAAGCATGACAGACAGCACCTTCTAAACTGTGCTGAAACTCGGGGGTGCTCCAGGCTCTAGACCTTTCCTCTACTGATGTCTTGTGGCCTCTGTGCACAAGCTCCCCTCTCCCATCCAAAAGCATTCGTGCCTATTATCAGTGCATATGAGGGAGTTCCTATGGATTCTCAAGTTCACTGCTATTTTCTCAAGGTCAATGATTTTTTTTTTTTGCACCAGTTTCCTGACAAATAACCTTCTCTACCTATTTTTTTTCCAGAGCATTGATATTCACTTTAAAAAGGACACAAGGAGAGGAATTGTCAATAACCAGCAGACAGATTGGTCATTCAAGCTGGATGGAGTCCTCCATGACGCATCCCAGGACTTGGTTTATGAGACAGTGGCACAAGATGTGGTTTCTCAGGCCCTTGATGGCTATAATGGTAATTTAATTAACTGTTGTCTTACCAGGAGCCCCTCCTGAAGCAAGAGGTACAATGGTTCTGTAGTGAATGAAATAAAAGGCTCACACATTTCCTAGCATTTGTATGCTTATTTTTCTGTCTGCATGTTCTTGTGGTGATAGACTTACTGTTTGAGTGGTGACACTGTCGGCATGGTTTGATCCCGTGTTCTGGGATCCTACCCTCCTAGGAAGATTAAAAGCCCCTGGCTTTTTTACATGTCATGGAGGTTCAACTATTATCTGTCTCAGATCCCTCAAATATTAGTTTTGAAGATATGCCTTTATGATGAATTTGACAGAGTTCAAACATTTTTCTCTAACTGCCTGCTAGGAGCTATTTCTGTCCTATAACATTATCAATGTACTGTTCATGTTCTGTTATAGGATTAATTACATTCCACCAAAAACTTGATTAGAATTTGATCTTCTTAAAAGCAGCTTTATTAGGGAATTTTACAACCTTGTTCATTTAAGATTGATTTAAAATATTAAAAGGATTAAAATCCTTGAAAAGAATACATCATAGGTTTTTGCAATGTTGATTTTTGCCATGTGGTGGTTGCTAATTAGAATGTTCCGGTTTTGCATATTTTAGGTTCTCTATGTAAGTCTGTTGAGTGTGGATGCTCAGACATTGCAGTTTTTCGTGCATGTTATCCATATGGTCCCACTGACCAAAGAAATTCTCATTGGTTTTCATGATGCCCTGAGAGAATGTGGCCCTGAGGAGGTGGAGACAGGAAGCAAGGCCCAGGGAGGTTGAGTGTCTTGGGCACTGGGTGCTGTAGAAGCACAAATGGGCTCTGAGTCAACTGATGTGACTCCTTCCTGCTCAGTTTGTTGTGATAAGAGACCCTGTTTCTGGCTCTAATTCAAATGCTGAATTAGGGCCCCTCTTTTCAAACCTGCCACCAATCCCTAGAACTAGAGCAAATGTGATTTCCACAGCCCTCTGTGGCCCCAGCTGGTCTGCTGTGTGAATGCCCAGAGGCAGCCTCTGGGATGGGGTCTAGCTCAGACTGGCCAAGCCATGAGGAAGAGCAGGTGGACCCCAGGGTGACTGCCTGGTGGGGGTGGAGACCTAAAGGACATGACAGGTGCACGTGAAATTTTGCCCAGGAAGGGCAGTGGGACCAGATCCTCGCCTGATCGTAGTGGCCCATTTCTGGACCAGGGGCCTTGTTTGATGCTCTGGGAATTTGCAGTCAGCAGAGAATTCTCAGCATTGGCAGGAAATGCCCTCCCTACTGTGTCTCTTCATGGAGATTTTTAAAGCTTTCATCTCTGTGGCTAAGTTGATGTCTCCTGTGGATAGACTTCATAAACATGGGCTGAAGCTCCTGTCTCCTTCCTCGTCTTTCTGGGAAGCATTCCAGTTCCTCTGTTCCCTGCGCTTCCGTGTTCTGGGAAGCCTCAAGACCAGAACATCTCTTGGTGAAAGGGGCAGTGGAATACTGTGTGACCCCAGATCCAGGACAGAAGTCTATGTCTTGGTTGTTAATGTCACAGTTCCCCTGTCTACCCACCACCTCCATAGGGGGATTCCTGGCGTGTTTGACTGATCCCATTGCCCACTTTCATCCCAAGGTCCTTGCTGACCTGAGACTTGCCAGGGGAGTGGGAGAATTGTCTTTGGAGTTATTTTTCTGAATGTCACCAAGACATGTTTTGAAATGTTTGCAGGTACCATCATTTGTTATGGGCAGACAGGAGCTGGCAAGACATACACCATGACGGGGGCAACTGAGAATTACAAGCACCGGGGGATCCTCCCTCGTGCCCTGCAGCAGGTAGAGATTGGGTCCTTGGGAGGGGTGCCACACAGGTCCCCTCTTTCTGCCAGATACTGCCCAGCCCCGGCCAGCTACTGAAGTCATGGGATCCAGCCCTCAGAGGAATGGCAACCAATGCTGGTATCAGATGGGATACACATGGCCAGAGGTGGGGTTTGAGGTATCTGGAAACCAGGTTTCAGACTCTGCTCCATACCCGCCCTGAGCTGAACCCTCATTTATGAAGAGCTCTGATGGCCCATGATCCTGTAATTAAGGATTCAAAGGTCCTAAGGATTCAAAGTTCCTAATCATGCTCCTGGTTTGTTTTTTTTTTTAAAAAAACAGTTTTTAAAGTTTTATTTACTTTTATTAAGAGAGACAGAGAGGAGAGAGAGAAACAGAGAGAAAATGAATATGAATGGATGATCTTTTGTTAGCTGGTTCTCTCCCCAAATGCCCGCAACAGCTGGTAGTGGGTCAGGCCAAAGCCAGGAGCCTATAACTCCATGCACATCTCTCACATGGTGGTAGGGACCCAAGTACTTGATCCATTGTCTGCTGCCTCCCAGGCTGCACAATAATAGGAATTTGGATTGGAAGTAGAGCCAGAACTTGACCCCAAGCAGTTCAATATGGGATGCAAGTATCCCAAGGGATGACTTCACAGCTATGCCAAATACCCCCCTCCCCAATGTTCCTGGCCTTAATGAGGGGAAGGTGAACCCCTGCAAAGCTTTCCTGCCAGCCTGCTCTGGTCTCTTTTACCACTACATCCCCTGAAAGAGCCAAGACAAGAAGCAGGATGGGACTTGACCTGTCAGGGCTGGGGTTCTGAAAGTATGACTAAAGACAGGCAGAGGTGGCCGGCGCCGCGGCTCACTAGGCTAATCCTCCGCCTAGCGGCGCCGGCACACCGGGTTCTAGTCCCGGTCGGGGCGCCGGATTCTGTCCCGGTTGCCCCTCTTCCAGGCCAGCCCTCTGCTGTGGCCAGGGAGTGCAGTGGAGGATGGCCCAGGTGCTTGGGCCCTGCACCCCATGGGAGACCAGGAAAAGCACCTGGCTCCTGGCTCCTGCCATCGGATCGGCGCGGTGCGCCGGCCGCAGCGCGCCGGCCGCGGCGGCCATTGGAGGGTGAACCAACGGCAAAGGAAGACCTTTCTCTCTGTCTCTCTCTCTCACTGTCCACTCTGCCTGTCAAAAAAAAAAAAAAAAAAAAAAGACAGGCAGAGGGGCCCTTCTTTGGGGCCCACTAGCTTACGGGGTTCTGGGAGGACCCTCTGGTTGGAGGTAGGAGATGAAAGATCTTTCTCGAAGGGCATGTTTAATTTTACGGTCCTGCCCTATAAGAAGTATACACACCCCTCCAGTCTGTTTGCTGTCCATGCTCTGGTTTTTGAAGCAATGCCCTTCATACCCCACTGCCAAAGTTTCATTCAGTAGCTCAACAGCTTAGATTTTAGTAGTATGCCTCAGTGTCATCCAACAGAAATATGATGCAAGTCAGGTATGCAATTTTGAGTTTTCCAGGAGCCATAGAAAAGTAAAATTGGTGAAAATTTTAACAATGTGTTTCATTTAACTCAACAAACCCAAAGTATCATTTCCACATACAACCAATATAAAAGTTATCTAGATACTTTAAATTCTTTTTCTCATACTAAGTTTTTGAAATTCAATGTGTGTTTTATACCTAGAGCGCATTTCAGTTTAGGCAGTGTTCGTCAGAAATATTGGGTCTGTATTTAGATTTCACAGAAGTTAGCATTGAGGAAAGATTTATGTACCCAAGTTGTTCCAGATATTCTTAGGAAGCTTACCAATAACTGAATTACTAGTTTGTAATTAAAGTTTAACTGAAGTTAAATGAAATTTAAGCTTCAGTTCATTGCCACTGGCAACTGCTCAGCAGTCATCTATGGCTGGTGTCTACCATTTTAGACAGCACAGGTCTGTACTGTCAGGGGAAAGTGGGACCTCAGGGATTATATTGCCTGGCTCCCCATTTGACAGATAAGAAAATTAAGGCCCAGCGAGGGGGAAAGACCAGTTCAAAGTCACTTATATGATAAATACTGGGGACGGGATAAGGAGTTGAGAAACACAGACTCTGGGTTTGCTTCTACCCCTACCAGCAGGGTGACCCTAGATGAATGGTCTCTGAAGCCTTCAAGTGGATATTGCCCTGCCCTGCTTCAGAGGGGATTAAACAGCAGACATGAAAGAGGCACGTATATGATGACATTCCATAAATTAAGAGATCTTTACATTCATCATGTCTCTACTACTTGGGACTTTACACGTGTTAGGCAGATTGTAAATCAAGCCTCCAAAAGCTATAAGATGAAAATAAATGTCACCTGCTGTGCTAATAATAACTGATGCTGTTGGCTGATCACCTAGTCTGCAAATGCCATTAGGGCAAGAGTTATCTCACACTTCCCAGTGCTCCCCCCCACCCCAGTACTAGCCAGCTTGGAGTGACTGCTGTGCAACCTTTCATCCAGGTTTTTAGGATGATCAAAGAACGCCCCACACATGCCATCACGGTGCGTGTTTCCTACCTGGAAATCTACAACGAGAACCTGTTTGATCTCCTGTCCACTCTGCCCTACGTTGGACCTTCCGTCACACCAATGACCATCGTGGAAAACCCACAAGGAGTCTTCGTTAAGGGCTTGTCAGTCCACCTCACCAGTCAGGAGGAGGACGCCTTCGTCCTCCTTTTTGAGGTGAGATGATCAAGTCTGTGGGACCCTTTCCTTCCTCTCCCTCCCTCCTGCCTTCTCAGCTTTCTACTTCCTTCGATGGTCCAGGTGAAAATGCCAATAGATGCTCATTTAGCACATTTAGATGGTACTGAAAAAAGCTATAGGACCAAAAAAGAATTTGCTCAATCTTTTTATTTTTTTACATAAGGCAGCAGTAACGTATAACGTATATTTCCTTCTATTCTTCTTTCCTATGCAATTTTTTCTGTCTGTTGGTTGAAGTTATTCTTTTGCTCCCATTTTCAGTGAACATTAAATCATGAGAACTTGTTGTAAAGAAAAAATAAGGATGAATGGCCTTGGAGCATAAAAGCTCTTACAAATCAATCAAGTGTGTGTTGTTCTTTTAAAAATCATACAGGCATGGCCAGCACCGCGGCTCACTAGGCTAATCCTCCACCTTGCGGCACCGGCACATCGGGTTCTAGTCCTGGTCAGGGCACCGGATTCTGTCCCGGTTGCCCCTCTTCCAGGCCAGCTCTCTGCTGTGGCCAGGGAGTGCAGTGGAGGATGGCCCAAGTGCTTGGGCCTTGCACCCCATGGGAGACCAGGAGAAGTACCTGGCTCCTGCCATTGGATCGGCGTGGTGCGCCGGCCACAGCACGCTGGCCGCAGCGGCCATTGGAGGGTGAACCAACGGTAAAGGAAGACCTTTCTCTCTGTCTCTCTCTCTCACTGTCCACTCTGCCTGTCAAAAAATAAATAAATAAATCATACAGACTGGAACTCATATGTTACTGGTGGGAATGTAAAATGGTGCAGCCACTTAGGCAGTTTCCTAAAACATTAAGAGTAATTTTGTCGTAGGACCTAGCCATTCTCCTCCTAGGTTGCCCAAGAAACGTGAAGACATATGTGCATACAAAAACTTGAATGCCGATATTCAGAACAGCGTCATTCGGAATAGCCAAAGACTGGAAATGCCCCCAAATACCTGTCAGCTGATAAATGGATAGACAAAATGTGATCCATCCATACAATGAAAACTGTCAATAAAAGGGAATATGGTATATACATGCTGCAAGGTGGATAGCTTGAGAACATGCCAAGGGAAAGAATTCAGCCCTAGAAGAGCACATAGTATATGAGTCCATTCAAGTAGACTCTGAAAATAGATCATGGGCCGGGGGTACTTTCGGAGCTGATGCAGAAGTTCTAAAGCACGGACATGCTAATGGCTACACAGCTCTGCAAATCTATTAAAAATCATTGAACTAGGGCCAGCGCCGCGGCTCACTAGGCTAATCCTCCACCTTGTGGCGCCGGCACACCGGGTTCTAGTCCCGGTCGGGGCGCCGGATTCTGTCCCGGTTGCCCCTCTTCCAGGCCAGCTCTCTGCTGTGGCCAGGGAGTGCAGTGGAGGATGGCCCAGGTGCTTGGGCCCTGCACCCCATGGGAGACCAGGAAAAGCACCTGGCTCCTGGCTCCTGCCATCGGATCAGCGCGGTGCGCCAGCCGCAGCGCGCCGGCCTTGGCAGCCATTGGAGGGTGAACCAACGGCAAAGGAAGACCTTTCTCTCTGTCTCTCTCTCTCACTGTCCACTCTGCCTGTCAAAAAATAAAAAAAAAATTTTAAAAAATCATTGAACTATATATTTTAAACAGGGGTTTTATGGTGTTTGAATTATGCATCAATGAAACTTTATATTTTGAAGTTGAATATGAGAGGATGGAAGTACATGGGAAATGGAATTATAGTTTATGTTGGTGTAAAAAATCTTGAAAACCATTATAGCTTTTTCATAACGTGTGTATTCCATGAGCTTTTTTGAAGACCCCACATGGTTGTTTTCAGGATAATTTGTGCCTGATCCTTGTGTCTACAGGGAAGAGACACCGTGTGCGTGGCAAGGACTCATCTGCTGCCTCCCAAGCACATCAGCAGAAAGCTGAACAAGCAGCAGAACAGGACTCAATCCTGAACACTCCGATAGGGGATGATGGTGGCCCAAGCAGCAGTTTAACCCACTGTGCCACGTGCCTGCCTCTGCTGTGCTTCTTGGGAAATTTTTGCACCCACCCTTTCTCCAATATTACCTTCTCCTATCATTCTTCTTCTAAACTCTTTTTTTTTTTTTAAGATTTTATTTGTTTGAAAGGCAGAGTTACAAAGAGGCAGAGGCAGAAAGAGATATCTTCCATCCATTGGTTCACTTCCCAAATGGGTACAATGGCTGCAGCTGGCCTGATCCAAAGCCAGAAGCCAGGAACTTCCTCCAGGTCTCCCATGCGAGTACAGGGACCCAAGCACTCAGGCCATCCTCTACTGCTTTCCCAGGCTGTAGGAGAGAGCTGCACCATAGCACCAGCCCCATGCTTCTGAACTCTTAATACCTGACCTCTCATCTATTCCCAGTTTATCTTACACTCTTTTCCATTTTTCCCATGATGTATTTTTATGAGTTATTTTTAATACCTTTTTGTGACCCTGTTTGAATTCACTAATTCTTGGTGTGTTTTTTTTTTTTGAAGACTTATTTATTTTATTTTGAAAAGCAGAGTTACAGAGAGGAAGAGGCAGAGAGAGAGGGAAGGAGGTCTTCCATCCACTGGTTCACTCTCCAGATGGCTACAACGGCCAGAGCCATGCCAATCTGAAGCTAGGAATCAGGAGATTCTTCTGGGTCTCCCATGCGGGTACATGGACTCAAACACTTGGGCCATCACTACTGTTTTCCCAAGCCACAGCAGAGAGCTGGGTCAGAAGTGGAGCATCTTGGATTCGAACTGGCACCCACATGGGATGCTGGCACTGCAGGCAGTGGCTTTACCCGCTATATCACAGCACCGGCTCCTAATTCCATCTTCTCTGTGTGTCTTTGCTACAAGTCATGTCTACTGAGTTCATCATTATGGTAGTTTTTTAATTTCTAGAAGTTCTATTTAGTTCTTTAAAAAAAAAAAGATTTATTTATTTATTTATTTGTAAAGCAAAGTTACAGGGCTGGCCCTGTGTTGTAGCAGGTAAAGCCACTGCCTGCAGTGCCAGCACCCCATATGGGCGCCATTTCAAGTCCTGGCTGCACTACTTCCGATACAGCTCTCTGCTATGGCCTGAGAAAGCAGTAGAAGGTGGCCCAAGTCCTTGGTCCCCTACACCTGTGTAGGAGATGTCGCTCCCCGTCTTCATGGAGGAATGACACAGGACCCTGCGTTGTTCTTTCGTCTGCTCGGCCCTCCCCGGGTTTGCTGCTGGTTCTTCCCGGGTTGGCTACCGTCCCTTCCACGGAGGTGGAAGGGAGGTTCCCCCTGCCACATTCCCCACTTCCGCAGGGGAGTGGCACACCGCCGGCCGGCTCTCTCGGGGGCTGCACAGGTGTTCCTTCAGATAGATGTTCCCCTTAGATGTTCCTGGTGCATGTTGTCTCTCTCCTCCTTTATAGTCCTCCTCCGCCAATCCCAACTCTGCTACCCACACGCCGAGTACGCTGCTCTCCTCCAATCAGGAGCAGCTCCTGCAGCTTGTCAAGTTGGTGAGAGGCAGCTGGGTAGAAGCTGTTGCCTCCTCTCCCAGCGCCATATTGTGGGAGAGCAGATGCATAAAATAAGTCTTAATTCCAGTAACTTAGTCTAGTCCGAGTTGCTCCCCACAGGAGACCCGGAAGAAACTTCTGGCTCCTACTTCGGATCGGCGCAGCTCTGGCTATTGCAGCCAATTGGGGAATGAACCAGCGGATTGAAGACCTCTCTCTCTCTCTCTCTCTCTCTCTGCCTCTCCTTCTATCTCTGTGTAACTCTGACTTTGAAATAAATAAATGGCTTTTAAAAAAAAAAAAAAAAGAAAGAAAGGCAAAGTTACAGAGATTGAAGGAGACAGAGAAAGAGGTCTTTGATCCACTGGTTTACTCCACAAATGGCTGCAATGGCCTGACCCAGACCCAGGAGCCAGGAATTCCATCTGGGTCTCCCATGTAGGTGGCAGGTGTCCAAACACTTGGACCATTGTCCACTGCCTTTCCAGGCGCATTAGCAAGAAGCTGGATCAGAAGTGGGTCAGCACTCTTACGAGATGCTGGTGCAGGCAGTGGCTTAACCCACTGTACAAAAGTGCTACGTTTTGTGATTTTCTGTTAAATAATTTGAAGTTTCTTATTTTTAAAAACATGTTAAGTATAGTTATAGAGTCTTTGGTACTTCTAGTGACCAAAGTGTCTAGGAGTTTCAGTCCATCTACTTTCTCAATTCCTTATTGGCTTCTGTGCCTATTTATATTTGACTGTGTTCTGGTCATTGCCATTGAAAAATGGAGGGGATTCCTGAAGGCCTTTGAAGAATGTGCTTTTACTCTAACCAGAACATTTGGGAAGATATCAATCAGGTACCACCTTAATTCAAAACCATAGCTTTCCAGGCTGTGCCACAGCTTCTCTGGGGATGGTTTTGCTTTCCTTTGCTTTCCTGTTTCTGTCCTGTCCAGTGCTGAAGCAGCCTTCTCTGTAATCCTCTAGGGTTGAGGTTGAGGGTAGGTTTAGTTTCAGTGGTGCCACATCCAGTGGGTGCAGTCTTTGGGGTCGTAGCTTCATGTGTGTGTTTGGGTGGAGAAGAATCTCCTCTTCCATTGCTCACCTTGGGCCCTCCCGGAACTTTGACTGCTATTTCCCTTCTCCGTGAAGCTGTTGTTAAAACCCCAGTTTTGCCAGCGCCATGGCTCACTAGGCTAATCCTGCGCCTTGCGGCACCGGCACATCGGGTTCTAGTCCTGGTCAGGGCACCGGATTCTGTCCCGGTTGCCCCTCTTCCAGGCCAGCTCTCTGCTGTGGCCAGGGAGTGCAGTGGAGGATGGCCCAAGTGCTTGGGCCCTGCACCCCATGGGAGACCAGGAGAAGTACCTGGCTCCTGCCATCGGATCAGCGCGGTGCGCCGGCCGCAACACGCTGGCCGCAGCGGCCATTGGAGGGTGAACCAACGGCAAAGGAAGACCTTTCTCTCTGTCTCTCTCTCTCTCACTGTCCACTCTGCCT